CAGTTCCCGGGTTACGTACAAGATAGGGACTGTAGGTTTGTTCTTAAGTTGAATCTGTATGTAAGTAGGAACTGGCGTCCAGATTCAGCCGCTGCTGAAACTGACCAGCGCTGACTACAGGAAGCCTGAGGCAGAGTTGCTCTGCCCTGGGCTTCCTGGAATCAGCCGCTAATCAGTTTCAGCAGCAGCTGACTTGGGGACGCCTGGGGCAGAGCAGCTGGGGTGCTGCCGGGGTGGTCCAGTAGCGCCCAGAGCGGCGCTGCAGGACCAACCGGCAGCGCCCCAGCTCCTCTACCACAGGCATCCAGAGAAAAGCCTGGTCTGCTGTGGGGGGGGGCGAGGGAGGGGCACACTAGCTGCACACCTTCCCCCCCCCCCCCAGAAGACCAGGGAGACGGGGAGCAAAGACAGCCGCGGCGTGTCTGGGCTGTTCCGCTGCCCGCGTGCGACGCGGCTTTGCTCTGCGTCTCCCTGGTCTGCTGGAGACCAGCAGACCAGGGAGACGGGGAGCAAAGACAGCCGCGGCGTGTCTGGGCTGTTCCGCTGCCCGCGTGCGACGCGGCTTTGCTCTGCGTCTCCCTGGTCTGCTGGAGACCAGCAGACCAGGGAGACGGGGAGCAAAGACAGCCGCGGCGTGTCTGGGCTGTTCCGCTGCCCGCGTGCGACGCGGCTTTGCTCTGCGTCTCCCTGGTCTGCTGGAGGGGACTCCCCCCCGCAGCAGAACAGGGAGACGCGGAGCAGGTTCCTCAGAGGCTTTGCTTCCCATCTCCCTGATCTGCTGGTCTCCAGCAGACCAGGGAGACAGGCAGCAAACCCAGTTTGTAACTGCGGATCCGACATAAGTCTGCCTGTATATCCAGGGCTCGCTGAACCACAGCGATCCCTGCTCGCCAGCCGGCTCTTCCAGGTTGCAATCTACTCGCCACGGACAAGTAGATTGCATTATTTGTCGAGCCCTAGATATATCTATATCTAGAGAGATATGCAACCCACCATGTCTTTCAAATGAAAGTGGTATTACCAGCCTACTGAGGCCCTTTAAGCCTACATAACCAAAATCATACTCTGCTGGCTGGATGTTGTGAAGCAGTCACCCATCAATTCAGTAGCTTGAAGTATTTAATAATTTTAATTTATTTTGAGGGCTCATTAAGTTCTGTGAACAAGTGTTTAGTTGTAATTATTTCACATCAGACACAGACTAATGTGTGTAAACTTCAATTAGTGATATGGCATAATGCCATTTCTACAGGGCTATCAGTATTCAGCACATTAAGTAACCTACATCATATTAGGTGATAATTTACATTTATCTAGTGCAGAGGTGGGCAAGAATTTTTGAAGGGTGGCCACTTCAAAAATTTCTAAAGTGATCATGGGCATCAGGTGGAAGGGGCGGGGCCTTTAAATAGCAGGAGCTGAAAGAGCTCCAATCATGGGCATCAGGTGGAAGGGGCGGAGCCTTTAAATAGCAGGAGCTGAAAGAGCTCACACCTCCTCTGCGGCTCCCAGGCAACATATTAGCAGCTGGACTGGATCTGTGAGCCCTTTCAACTCCTGCTATTTTAAGGGCTCACACCTTAGGAGCCACCAGGAAGGCACGAGCCCTTTAAATAGAAACAGCTGAAAGGGCTGGTAGCTCCCTGCCCCACCGCTAACACATTGCCTGGGAGCCTCCGGGGAGGCATGAGCCCTTTTAAATGCTATTTAAAGGGCTTGCACCTGCTGGGCAACTAACGTTGTCTAGCAGCCTACTGGCAGGTGCTAGCTGGGCCAGATATGGCCTGCTGATAGCCTCTTGCCCAGCTTTCATTGATAATTGTACATACAGAGCCACTAAAATGCTCCACTTCCAAGGCAGAGGATTGTAACTGACACACAGCTCACTGTATGGCAGTAAAGAGGGGAAATTCTGACCATGATATTGAGGCAAACACTCAATGTTCCCTAATTTTTTTCTATCCAAGTGTGGAATAAATGTTGTTATATGTACTGGATATATGCATGCTGCTGGCTGTGGGCAATTTGCTAATTAGTTGAGCAGCACTTCAATCTCTCCTGGGTGGATGCCCAAGTACTCAGTTGCAAACACCTGGGTTTACACATTAACGGCCCCTCTTTTTACATGGAATGCAATAAAAGCAGACATATCAAAGACTGTCCTCTTTCTCAAGTTAGCTGCAGTGAATCTATTTATCTCAAAGAAACAAAAAACAGAGTTGACCCTTTTTGGATTTGAATCTGTAGTTCCACAGAGTTTAGGTCAGAAGTTGGCAATCATTTTTGATGAGGGTAGCACTTCAAGATTTTGGAAAGTGGTCAAGGGCTGCACTCTTCCATGATATTAATGGAGGAGATGTGGGGTCTGGGATGGAGGTTGGGGTAAGGGTTTGAGGTGCAGGAGGGAGTATGGAGTTTGGGAAGGAGTCTGGGTGAAGGAGGCAGTTGTGATCTAGGGCAGGGTACCGGGGTGCAGGGTTTTGGACTATGACGTATGGCAGGAGGTGGTTATGACCTAAGGCAGTGGACTGGGGTGCAGGAGTTTGGGTTGTAACCTAGGGTAGGAGGGGATTGTAATCTGGGGCAGGAGATTGGGGTGCCAGATCTAGGAGTAGGTATGAGTGCAGGAGGAGGAGCTGAAGGTTTAGGTATGTTGAGTGGAGGGGTGCAGAGGGTGGGGGAAGAAAGGGGCTGGGATGCCAGAGGCAGGCTCCGGCCAAACTTACCAGCTGGCAGCCTAACCTGACTGCCTTCAGACAGACTGCACAGCCATGTGATTGTGTGAATAACTAAGCTGGCAGGGAAGAAGCTATCGTGCTGTGTGTGTGCTGCCTGTTATTCAAACAGGTAGCTCCCATTGGTCAATTTCTGGCCAGACATCAGCCAATGGGATTGTGCTAGGGGGTGGGAGTTAAGCCTGAAGCCTCTCCCCTCTGGGCTCTCAGTTTTTAAAGAGAAACAGCTCTGCAGCCACTTTCCTGAGCGATGTGTGGGGCTGCAAGGCAAACAGGGGAGCCTGCCTGTGGCTCCCCGCAACGTCCACGAGCCAGATCTGGTGGCTTGGTGGGCCTGATCCGGCCCATGGGCCATATTTTGCCTAGGCATGGTTTATGCGATATGGATACTTAGACCTTCCATCCACAGTTCCTCCAAACTACATTGAAAGAACAGATCACAGCAGAGCCACAATTGACAATATTAGTGCATTTGTATAAATACAGGGCATTATCTTAAATGGGAGCAGGAGACCCATGTGTTCTCATGAATTTAACACATTATGCAAGACAAAAACCTCTGGTACAAAACAAACACAAGCATGTTGTGTTCCCTATTGCCAACTGAAGGACTGTTTTGCCTATCCTTGCACTCTTCCATCCTAGATAAGAGAGGGACAATGCAGAAGGCAAACAGAAAAAAACAACAGGGCAAGTGGAGAGCTAGTCAACTGAACAGTTTTATGTATTAAAACGTAGTGAACGTTAATCTTCTTTAATCTGAGCACATCACAAATTCTTCACCTTGGTCAAATATTGTAAAAAATATTCCATCAAGAATGCTGTGATATAGGTGGTATTCCTGAAAAAAATGTGGAAGAACAGCTCTTGTGCAAGAAGGGGTTTTTGCGCAAAAGCCTCTTGTGCAAAAAGGAGCCTAATTAATTATGCAAATAAGGCAGAGATATGCCACGCCTTGCCTCATTTGCATATGTTTTTGCACAAGAGGCTAGAGCGTAGACATAGCCTGTATGTATATTTTTATTTGTATTCTATCCGGAGTGTAGACATAGCCTGTATGTATATTTTTATTTGTATTCTATCCGATTAATTTGCATAGCAACTTGCAAAGGACATTAAGCAAATTAAAAGACATAGTCCCTGCCCCAAAGAGTTTACATTCTAACCTGACTAGACAAACATTCCACGAAGCAAAAGTAAGGGTTCCATGAGAACCTGGCACTCCCCCCAGACAGAGACAAATTCTGGCTGGGCTTTTTTTTTTGGGGGGGGGGAGGAGGAGGAGGAAATAGTGTAACCCTTTATTTGCTGCAGTCCCAGCGGACTTCAAATGGAAACTACCATGTTTCTCCCAGTTTTTTGAAACTTCTCAGATTAGACTTTTGAAAAGGAGAATTTATAAGGTATCATGTAGGGTGTTTGCAGTGATAGTCCCATGGCTTTTAATGTACCCTGTGATTAGGCTTTACACAAATGCATTGGCATTTCAGATACTCAAATGAAACCTGTAAGGCCAAGTTCATCTCTGCTCTAACTCCACTGACTTCAATGGTGTAAGAATACATTTACACATTGGCCAGATTCATCTTTTTGCTACAGCTCTGTTGCATTGGATAAGCTGATGCAAAATGGCCATATGGCATGCAGGCCCTCCAATTGTGAGGGCATATGCATACTTCTCTGTGCCTAGCTCTGCAGCTTTGTACCACCTCTGAAAGTCCCCCATTCTTGCATTCGTACAGGGCCTAGGAGGGCACAGAGTGGTGGAAGTGACTTTCGCAACTGCAGTGGCTCACTGGAGTTGGGGGGACAAATTAGCCCTGAGGCCTACACTAGCCTATGCTGCAGCCTGAACAGGCCATTTTGATTCCTGAGTATTGGAGACATGAGGGGTGCGTCTAGACTGGCAAAAACTTGCCAGCTGTCTACACTGGCCGCTTGAATTTGCGCAAGAGCACTGATTTTGTTTTTATGGGTCTGACAACTTTTTTGTACATATGAAGGAAAAACAATCCTATTCCATTTTAAAGTTTGAGAATAGGGGTAGAGAATTTATCAGGAATGAAGGAAAGAACATGGCAGCAGAGCTATACTGAAAGCAGAAATAGACCTATCATCTACCCATCCAGATTGCTTTCTTTTTACAATTAAATCTTTTGACTTGTCTGTACCTAAAATGACATTAAGGATTCTAAATTTTTATATATTCTGTCAACTTTATCAACAATAGTTCAATGACAGCAAAATGTGAAACAGAGCAGTTACCTTCTAACATTTCTCCAGCTCCTTTAGGGTACGTAAAGAGGGCTTTCCGTGGTGGGGCAAGGTCTGAGACACTGAACCCAGATCCAGTTACAGAGCTTCCACTGACTCCACCAGCTGAAGAGGATGAAGAGGAGGCTGCCATTTCTCCCTTTAGCTTAAAGGTAACAGAGAAAAAGTTATTTTTTCCTTCTGTAAGTTGTGCTAACTCCATAGCACAGCTTTTTGCCTTCAAAGAGCTGGATTCAAATTGATTCACATTATAGCAGAAAATGTCTGGTGACTTCTATCTTTGTCTTCCTGCATCCACATCCCAATTCTCCCATAATACTTGGTACCACTGGTTGTCCAATTGCAGGGGGTGATAGGTCACGAGTAAGGTCCACAGAGAAAGTTCAGTGGTTAAAGTTCTAGACCAGTGGTTCTCAACCCACAAATTGGGACTCCAACGTGGGTCATGACTCCATTTTAATAGGGTGGCCAAAGCTGGTGTTAGATTTGCTGGGGCCCAGGGCCAAAGCCAGAGTCCCATTGCCCAGGGAGGAAACTGAAGCCTCATGGCTTCAGCCCTGCATGGCAGGGCTCACAAAACTGAAGCATGGCTTCAGCCCTGCATGGCAGGGCTCAGGTTACAGGTCCCCCGTCCTCCCGCAGCTTCTCTTCCCTACAAGATAATGTAGTAATTTTTGTTGTCAAAATGTCCTCCCCCAGCTTCTCTTCCCCACAAGATAATGTAGTATTTTTTGTTGTCAAAAGGGGGTAATGGAGCACTGTTCTAGACTAGTGGTGCGCAACCTTTTTTCATTTGCAACTCCCATGCTGCGGGGAAAATTTTGTTGAGCCAAAAAACCCACAAACCTCCCCCCCATAAAACACCGGGCAGCTCCCCTGCCACTCTTCCCACACCCGTTACGTGTCTGTCAGGCACCACGCTGGGAAAAGCAGAAAATACCAGCCAGATCACAGCGCTGCGACTCCCCAGGAAGACAGCTGTGAACAAAGGCAGTCACGACACGAGTTGTGCACCGCTGTTCTAGACTGTGAAAATATAAAACAAGTAATTACATGACTGAGAACCACTTGCCTTTATTAGCTGTCTTTTTCTTTTAAACGTAAGTATTTTCTAGGTGGAGCTATCCTAGGAAGAACTAATATTTAAAGGCCACATTGAGGCTATATTCAAACTACAGCAGATTTCTTAATATATTTTAGTATAAAAATGCAGTTCATAATTTTACCACATGGTGGCACAAAAAATGACAATAATGCTCAATTGCACAACGGCCTTGGCAAAACCTGCTATATTTAATCTTTGTATAAGACGTATGAGCTTCACAGAGGATTGAGGGCAGCATTGGCCCTAAGTTGTAGCCTCACTCACAGTCCCTCTTCCTAGAATCAGGGATCTCTTGCTGCACTTCAATGGACTCACAGGAGGAAGATTTTTATGAGGTCTATGAATTAGTGGAAGAGGCACGGTCAAAGGAATCCATCAGGCGAGGAAGGCAGTGCGGGGTAGGGACTGATAAAGACACCTTGGTCCACTCCAGGTGGACCTTTGGCAGCCCCTCTGCTGTACTTGGTATCTCTTTCTCTCCACATCAGGGATGTTTCTCCTTTTCTATTGGCCCAGTGTCCGCACGTCCTTCGCCCTCAGGCGCTGCACTGAGTCGTACTGGCCCGCGGTACTCAGGCACCAGCACTACTGGAGGCCCCAGGCCAGCCCCCCTGGGCGGGGAGGGGGAAGCAGGCACAGGGGCGGGGAGCCGAGCCCAGCTCTCCCGGCGATATCCGTGGAAGGGGCTGGCTGCCAGGGCCCAGGGAACAAGAGCGGGAAGTGGAGCCCCGCCCCTAGCGGGGGGTGCGGCCACAGGCAGCTCACGCA